TTAAATAAAATTTTAATTTAATCAAATTAATTTTGTTTGCCACAATTAATACAATTTATAAAAAATAATAACAAAAACAAGAAACAAACGCAAGCAAAATCAAAATAAAAATACGCTCTAAGAGCAAAATGAGACCACATTTTCGTATATTTTCAATTTTTGAACTTTTATTTGAACATTTAGATTTTGAAGTTTACGCGTTTTTGCTTCAAACTATTTACAGTATTAATACTATAACCATTTATCGCCAACTGTGTTTTGCTTAATTTAATTCCACCTTTTATTTATCTTATTTTTTTTTGTATTCCTATGTGTTTCCTCATTTTAATTATATCCAGTGTGTGTGCGTCTATATTTTTCGGTGCGCCATGTAACGCCGCAATGCACACATACATATCTAGTTCGTACATACATAGCAAATTTGCCTTAAACTCTATTGATTGGGCGTTTGCGCCCAACTTGTGTTATTTTGCATATATTGTATTTTTTAGTGTGTTGTTGTTGTTGTTTTGTTGTAGTATTTTGCAATTTCAAATATTTGCATATTTTTCATTATTCATTTATTTGTTCTTGCCTTAATAAAGTTCTGTGGTGGGATTGAATATACGAGTATTTGTTGCTATAAGTACCATTTGTGTTGTTGTTGTTCTTGTTGTTTTTGTTATTATTTTTTCTGCTTTTTTTTTTTTTAAATATAAAGTAACGGATACCACGCTTCAACTCTTACAACTTCTATAAACGCTTACTGAAATGTATTAATTCATAGTAGTATGTGTGTGTGTGAGTGTGTGTGTAAGCGCCTAGTCGATAACTGAGTTGGCATTTGCCTTATTGTGTTGTTGTAGATCGCAGTTTGTGTATGAATAAGGAGACTTAATTAATGCATTAACAATTATAGTTGAATTTACAAATATAACAGATACATATACTATATAATATAACGGTGTTATTGTACTATTTCTCAAACGGTTTGCATTGATATATGTAAATCTTGTTTTAATTTGTACATGTATGTATTTATTACTATTTCACTAATAATTAGTTGAGTTCTTTTTTTATAAAAAGTCATGACGAATGAAATTTGGTAAAAAAAAATAATTTTGGATTGTACATATGTACATACATACATATCCTCACATAAAATGCAAAATAATGGAAAAAAACTTTTCATAAGTTTAAAGGCGAATGAAACCACTCATATTGCAACAAAATTTGAGTTTTGGTTATAAAATGGTTATATATTGGTTATTATATCTGAGAATTGGTTATTTTTTTTAATGATCGATATGATGATACGTTATTTTGCATTTTAGGTGACAATATGTATGTATTTAATTATGTCTGTATGTGTTAAAAAATATCTTCAGAAAAGATCTCTTCAATGACTAAAAGGAACGCTTATACAAAAAAAGAATAATTTATTCGAAAAAAAAATTAAAATTAATTTTTAATAAAAAAATAATTGAAAAAAAAATTCACTTTATAAATAAATGTTTGTTTGCATGTATGTATGTAAGTTTGCGGATTTAATATTCTTTTAGGTCCCACTTTTATTTATTTATAACAGTTTTAGAATTCTGCAAGGCAAGGTTTGGGACTAATACTCGTAATACACATATACTAAAACGCATTAATTACTCGTATATATTATATGTTAGTTGTATGTATGTGAGTTTATATATGTACTATGTCTTTGTAAACGTAATATTTTTTAATCACAAATAAAAAGTCTTTGGTACATGCAATTATTTGTTAGGTTTTCTGTTCAGCTTTATATTCGTTGTTTAGGAACATTACACAGAAGATTGGTTGGTTGGCAAAAAATTAAAAAAAAAT